TCAGACGTGTGCTCTTCCGATCTCCCCAAAACCCCAAAACCCCAAAACCCCATCTAGCTATTAAATTGGATAGATATTTGGCTTTAAAGATTAAGAATGAACAATAAAGTAATAATAATTTGGCACAATTTGGACAACAAAGAGTCAGATCAGATATTAAGCACCCAAACATATTGAGTCAGAAAATAAGGCAATTAGCATCACATCCACACAATCTGTTGCTGGCATTTGGATTATGAGCTGCTGAGTTCTCCTTCTCAAATTTGTCTATCTCTCTCTAGTTTCTCTATTTCAATCTCTTGTTATCATCCTTTGTTCTCTGCGATTGACTTGCAGTTGTACTGGTTCCTTTGTAGACCTTATCAAGTGCCATATGACTCAAATCAGTCATCTAGCTTGAACCGTCATCCATTACCGAATTAAGTTGATCTAATATCAATCCTCTTTCTGGTTCAAATTAAATGTGATAAAGACACTCAATTGCTTGAGATACAACATTCTTCTTGTTAGTTAAAGCAGTACTGAGTTAGTCTATCTTTTTAAGCGTATCAGTAACATAGAATTTCTTAAGTTCTTCAGTCCTCTAGGCGAATTCCTCTGAGAGCTCTGCTGTGAAAACCAGGTGAACTCTACCCTTAGTCTGCATCATATTCTTGACCTCATATAGGGGCTGGGCCTTGTTCGAAGTAGAGATTAGTTAATTGAATTGCTCATCATCCTCAGAGTAGTTAGCATCTGGATCCTGAAGATAGATATTCCTGTATGTTGGAAATTCCTATAATTGCTTGAAAAAAGAAATCAATTTACATCATTAACTAGCAAGTTAGAGAGTACTTTATCTATGGTAATCTCAGTCTTGCCCAATTTAGGGTAGAGAACTTTATCATCGTCATCGTCCATTTCAGATCTCATTGTTCTGCTGTCATCAAAGTCAGCATTCTGAGCTTCCTCGCTATTCTAAGCATCATAGAGCTCAATGATAATCTTATTAGCATCACTCGGAATGATTCTAAAATGCTTTAAAATCTATTGATATTTACATGTCAATGTCGAGATTTATAAATGGATTTGAGCTCTTTGGGTAAACTCTAGTCTTGAATGCAAAGCTGTCATCAATGTAAAGATAGAGCTTAACCATAGGCTCACCCTCTAGGTTTTGAACTTGACTTATAGAGCAGACTAAGACATTCTCCTCTACAGATGGATCAATATAATGGAACTTCTTTCCTCTAACAAACTTCTAGGTGTCAAGAATAGAGACTGTTTATTAAAATCTGTCCTTCATATCTTTCAAATCTAGGAATGCTGAGTTGTACTGTAGTAGTTTGCTAGCATACTAAGAAGTGAAATCCTTGCTAAAATAAGAGAAGATTAGTTATATCATCAATAAATTTAAATGGCTGTTAAACCATAAATGATTTGGCTTTATTAAGGGGCTACTTACATGGTGAATTCATTATTATTTGCATCAGCAATTAAATCTCTTATGTAATTTTCCTTGTTCCAATCAAAAAATACTCTCTCAAAAGCTTCATCATCACTCTATAGACAGATGAAATCTATGCAAATTAGCATACACATTAATCTCGATTGCAAACAATATTGACACTTTCCAAGATATTATGCATCAGTTAGTGGTAAAGTTCCCTGTTGCCCTCGTCACTGATGCTATTGTATCCACCAGTTAATCTACTGCTACCTATGGGTGTCATACCTGAATTTCTCTATAAATATATATCAACATGCTGTAATAAATATCCATAGTCACCAACTTACAGAGGTCCCAAGTCTTTACTTTTACGAATCTGCATACATTTTGTTTTAAAAAATTTATAATTGGAAAATTATTTAATTTTAATCTATATAACCTCATTGAACATACCAATAACTTTATCACGGGGTTTTGGGGTTTTGGGGTTTTGGGGTTTTGGGG